CATCTTTACTTCGTCAACAACATCATAGTGAGGAGCATCACTGACCCCTGTTGGAGCATGCATTCCGTGGGTAGGCGTGACGTACAGATGAAAGCTGAAAGGTGAACTGATTGGTTAGCTTACTCAGGTGATCTTAAAAGTAATTGCATGCAAGATTTCTTCACTGAAGATAAATCATGTTACGAGGAAACAAAAGAGATATAAGTCTCCTGACGGAAAACGAGACTGAGATTATGATGTTTGTTTCCGATATGTTTCATCCCTTGTTTTTTTAACGCCATGCTCCGCAATATCCAGCTATATTGCTAAATAAAGTCTGGATCAGACCATCTAGGCAATGATTAGCACCATAAGTATCTACGCAATTTGGCTACGATGACATGCATCAACCAAGTCACGAACCTACCACCCGATCCCGTAAGTTGCCTCTTACCACAATCATAGCCACCTTTTATGTCCAGTGTGGTTTGCTGGTGACCTATCAAGATCTAACATTGACTTGTATGAGAGACAAAAGTCACATGTTAGTTCAGTACTTCAGTATTACAACATCATGCCTGTGTCACTCACTTACTCACCTGTCGTTTCTAAAGCCTTGACAATAACTGCAACACCAAGCCACGACAACCATCACAATGAAAACCACAGATGCTGTAGCTAGCCCTGTAGATAGTGCTACCGTCAGTTCCACGTTATCACCTAACAAAGAACAAAGTTAATTTGTAAATGCAGTAGCAGGGGCTTCTTGAACAACTTGACCCAACGAGGAAGATCGTTACGATGCAAGTGGCGGCTCCTGCCGACTGTCCGACATTGCCACAATTGCTGTATACGAATATGACCCCTGCAATCACACGCAATTCAAAGAACCCTTTGGGGGAATATACAACATAGACTTGGGGGTAGTATTAGTATTGACCTTGTTATATGTCATCCACCTACCAGATTCACAGCTGGTCCCGAAGTAGGAGTCGACACATCCAGACACACAGGAGGAGCCCAGCTGACAATATCCTCCATCACAACCACCTGGACATGCTGTACAGTTACCTCCTGGACTGTCACATGGTATGTTACACCTCCTGCCTTGATATCCTGGGATACATCCCTCGGTACAACGTCCGCCACCGTCGTCTGACTGAGTACACAGGTAAAATTTACAATATCCGTCACAAACAGACAAACATTTCTGATCAAAATACCCAGAGTCACACACAGTGAGGCAGTGTCCAGTCGTGTTGGCACAGTCTGAACAGTGTTGGTTATCCTTACATGGACCAGCTGAAAGTTAAGATATAGGTATTTGGTAACATTTTCGAGAATAGGATTTAGTGGATACTGAGTATGATGTTTATTAAGACTACGGTAAGCAACTTACAAGGATGATTATTCCTATACCAAAATATATCGATGTCTTAGATAAATATGCAGAACTGACGATTCCCGACATGGGTACAATGCGTGAAGCCCATTTCTGGTGTCCCCCACAGTGATATTGCTGGAATATTGCAAAAAGCTGCGTGAAACCATACTCACTCACTCACTCATTAATGTTAAACTGGAGCATGGTTATAGAACTTGAACACATCTGGACCAGTAAGTCAGCCACGCTCAAACATGCTGCTAAACAAGTGAAATAATGTTTCACCCCATCTCCTAAGAAAATCCAGTCTTCATAAATATTACAATATATGAATTCCACTTACGTATACTAACGTATGCATACTTTCAAATAAAAAGAGTAGATGAACACTATTATGAACACAACGTTTTACCTTCAGTAGCAATTACCATGCATGCCATCCACAACAGCAGCGAGACGACCATCCCGTTGACCTGAACTGCTAAAGAAGACAGAAGTGACAAAAAAACATTGCCCAGTAATATACAGGGTGAAACATCACTTGTTGGATGCAAGGACTAAGAACATGGACGTGCAATGGGTGTACCGAAAACAAGCGTTGCAGAGTTTGTCCAGCAGGGTGTTCTACATGTGTACACTCCCCTTTCATGGAATATACAGAAGATCCACGTTGTTAGGAGATCAATGCTGTATTATGTGCCTGGCATCAGTAAGAAGTAGCACACACACGCACACAAACACGTACGAACGCACACACACACACACACACACAGACACACACACACACACACACACACACACACACACACACACATCTGCATGCTCGTAGCATACACGTTCAGTCACCTCTAGTGCGACATGAAACCCCTTGACACCTCATATATAACCAAAGCATGTACTCACATCACAGTTCGCCTGATATACATATGTGTCCCGTTGGTAGACTATGCAGACCAGCTGCATGTGATCAAATGATGTTCTGTGTCACACAGGCGTCAGGTGGCTGTTGATGGATGTGTTGCACATATAGCATCCTTGTTTCACAACCACAGAGATGCATGTCTCCCGTTGACGGCTTTATTTCCCCCTTCACAAAGAAGATAAAAATTAACAATTTCACCAACAAATAAGGAAATATTACCCCGTGAATACATAAAACATAACATTGATCATTATATTAATAACCTGTTTCATAATTACTTTTACACAACCTTTCAGTTCATTTTTTTTTGTTTATGTAAAACATCATATATCAGATAGACACAAAAAGGTGCAAGGTTGTGACAAAGTTTTCAAATTAAACGTTGGAACAGCTCATACCATCTTTCAACTTCATCCCGCTGGTCCCCGACCTGAAACCCCTAAACCAGGTCCACCAGCGAGTGGATCAGTGTCTGTTTCATACTGGCTTAATCAGTATTTCAGTAATGCAAAAATCATTTCCATAACAACAGACAGCTCTCATAAATGCAGTGTACCTTGTACGATTGATTCTATCTCATAAACATGTGTCCCCGATTCTCGCTCCAGGTTTGTCAGCGTTCCACTGAAGTAAACGTCTAAGACACGCCCACATAGCCTTTCACGTTACTGAAATACCGTTTATTATTGCATGAAGCTAAAACACGCTAACTCACTGGTGTTAAGGGTTTTAGAGCCTGAAGTGATGGGGGTTTTAGACGTTTACGACCCCAGTGCAACCCTGCTAACTCACTGGTGTATGTTTCTTTAGTTAAAGGTGTTAGAGACAGAGGTGAAGCGGGTTTTAGACGTCTACGACCCCAGTGCAACTCTGACAAACTGAAAAAAATAATCCTTGAGGAACATGTGGGATTGGAAGAAACAAAAATAGGTTCATGGTATGACCCGGGGAGGCAAAGGGATATGGCACTCCCGAGAGCTACAAATCTGCATTGAATTTTATGCCATATAATACAGGACTACCCTTAACTTCTCCTTACAGTGAGTGAGTGGGTGAGTGAGTGAGTGAGTGAGTATGGTTTTACGCCGCTTTTAGCAATATTCTAGCAATACCACGATGGGGACACCAGAAATGGGCTTCACACATTGTACCCATGTCGGGAATCGAACCCGGGTCTTCGGCGTGACGAGCGAACGCTTTTAACCACTAGGACACCCGACCGCCCAATTTCTCCCTACAACTGAGCGTATCAACTTGACTGTAGATGTGAAAGGTACACCACATGTACAGGAGGAAGTTGTTAGACACTGCGGAAATAAGGATTTGACTAAACTGGTAGAAGTAAACCAATATCGAATGATTTGAATACATTGAACCATAGGTTTATACACTGTACAATTATACTTCCTAAAATAGTTGTATGTTTTTTTTATACGTTTTCCCCGCTCTACCGCTGATCCCCAAGGCAGTAATCCTGACGAGATATGCGTATGAAGTAAACATGTATCAAACAGTTAACCCGACCACCCAACCTCAATGCGCCCCCACTATGCAATGATTCCTGATATGACGTGATCTCCCAATAAGCTGTGGTCGTTGTGAGACGTGACTTAGGGGATCGGTTGTTTATCACACAATAAATTCAACATCATGACGTGATCAGCCAATAAGCTGTGCTCGTTGTGAGACGTGACTTAGGGGATCGGTTGTTTATCACACAATAAATTTAACATCACGACGTGATCAGCCAATAAGCTGTGCTCGTTGTGAGACGTTACTAAAGGGATCGGTTGTTTATCACACAATTAATTCAACATCATGACGTGATTACCCAATAAGCTGTGCTCGTTGTGAGACGTTACTAAGGGGATCGGTTGTTTATCACACAATTAATTCAACGTCCTGCTCAATCTGAATGATGTTTGTTCAATGAAGGATCAGTTCAACAACGCCATTTGCAGGAGCATAACGCTCTGCCGACAAAAAGGATAAACTTACTTAATACAAGAAGTGTTGCTCCCGGCTGCTCCTCAGAAGATATGATTGAGAAAGTGTGCAATGTCATATTTTGTCATTTGTATTTAGTGAGTTGAAAGGAAAGGCTTATAGCATGGCTTCATCCCTGTGCTGTCTGCTATAAGTATAGCATCGCCTCAAGCCACATGTGTCAGTAAACTGTAGTGATGATTGTTCTGACTGCCGTAAGTATAGCATCGCCTCAAGCCACATGTGTCAATGTACTGTAGTGATGATTGTTCTGTCTGCTATAAGTACAGCATCGCCTCAAGCCACATGTGTCAGTAAACTGTAGTGATGATTGTTCTGACTGCCGTAAGTATAGCATCGCCTCAAGCCACATGTGTCAATGTACTGTAGTGATGATTGTTCTGTCTGCTGTAAGTATAGCATCGCCTCTAGCCTCAAACATGGACCTGATATAAACATTTATGACAGTTTAACGCTGCAGGTACTCCATATTGCAGCTACCCTGGTATTGACCTGGCACGCTCTTTACGCAAATCACGAGCAAGGATCAAGGTATTTCAGTCACGATGACAAGATGACAATCAGCAATCAGTCACAGAGCGTGACCATCCGATCTCCAGTTAAGTTGCCCCTATGACATCCATGATGTGATTGTGATCTATTCTAAACACAAAATGGCATATGAAACACCACCTTTGAATTAAGATATTTATTTTATAAAAATTGGTCTCAATCAACACGTCCACTGTTGAAGTACTTAATCAAAATTTATAACAAACGGTCAACGAAAATGCTGGATATTCATGCATTTTGATATTTACAAATATTACAATATTTACAAACATCATACCATATTTTCCTATATGTAGTCTGATCAAACTAAAGTGAGAGCTGGGTGTATTGGCTCGTTCACGACAGTTGACCACAGATATATCAAGCCACCGTTTAACACGGGGGCCTCACTGAAGCACAGTCACCTAACTCCGAGCCCTGTCTTAACGCCGATGACAAGGCAGAGACACAACATGAACCATGTGTTAACGTCTCTTGACACGTATGACACGAATGACACGTATGACACGTATAACACGTATGACACGAATGACACGTATGACACGTGTGGCACGTATTACACAAATGACACGTATGCCACGAATGACATGTATGACACGTATGACACGTATGACACGAATGACACGTATGACACGTATGGCACGTATTACACAAATGACACGTATGATACATATAACACGTATGACATGAATGCCACGTATGACACGTATAACACGTTTGACACGTAAGGCACGTGTGACACGTATAACACGTATGACAAGTAAAACACGTATGACACGTATGACACGTCTAACACGTATGGCACGTAAGACACGTAAGACACGTATGACAAGTATGACCTTTATGACACTTATGACACGTATGACACGAATGACACGGCCAGGGGACTGACCACCAACCTTCTGCTCTCCGGACAGATGCTCGATCAATTTGACCTCATAGGTGGCAGATCAAACTAAGAACTACGCAATGAACAAACAGTCAACAAACGATATTTAAGAAATACTTGATTTTCTAAGCATGGGATATTTTGGAATAGATATTGCCGATAACACCAGCACGATCATGTTTGCCTCCATCTGCAACGTCATACACATCATCCTCCACACCACCAGCTTCACCTCCACCTCCACAGTTCCCATCAGGTGACTCACGATCCATGGCCATGTCTGTCTGTGGGATGTCAGTATACCATTCTAGTTCATAGACAGAGGCATCGCCCATCTCGGCAACAGAGTCGCGCACAATGTCCTCTGTCTGTGGGGTGTCAGTATACCATTCTAGTTCATAGACAGGAGCATCGCCTATCTCGGCAACAGAATCGCGCACAACATGCTCTTCCTGGGTGACACTGTGAAATAAAAAATAAAATTGATGTCATAACTTGTGGATCCACATTTAAGCAAATAAACCGTGCAACAATATTTGCAACACTATTTGCAAAAAATATTTGCTACAATATTTGCAACAATGTTCAAGGTTTTACAAACATTATTGTTGAATACTCGTTTCTCAGAGTGTACAGCTACACAACGACATATCACTTCAATTATCACTAAAAGGAACCCTCCAATCAAAGTGCACTAAACATTTCAGCATTGAAACAAGCTTTCTTATCATAATGCACTGCTCGGATTGTTGTGTACTATTACAACTGGGGTCTCCTTGTAGCTTAATTACTTCCGTCCTCCTGACTTTGTGGATAACAATGTCCTTGTTCGATTTATTCTATTAATTTCAATAGAGAGCTATGTCCAACAAGCCCTTGTTGAGTTAATTTCATTTATTTACTAACAGAACAGTTTGGTACGTCATAGCTACAGTTTATTTATTATAAAAGAATGGCGATAGTGCGTTGCACGGTAGAGGGTGCCTAATAATTCACATGCAACTTGATCAAGTCATTCAAATATTTCATCACGTGTCCCCTTTATTAAATTTATATATTAGCGTTACTACTGAAGGCTTAAAATAACCAGTAATATGCCCCTACTATTTTTTTGTAGTTTTACAAAATTACTTTATTTTATAGAACAGTTTGATGATGACAACAACAATCGCCCAGGCGTACATTTGACTGCTATGTTTCAGCTGCCTCAATCACAGCAGCCTGTACTACTAGAACATGGGCCTTGGAACCATTCGGCTTATGATATGACCAACATCTCACGACGTGGGGGCATGATGAGACAGTCATCCACGTCACACTGACTGACTACCTCATTGATCTCCATCAGTTATTGCGTCCATAATGGTATGAGGTCCAATTGTGAACCCGAATTTTGGAATATTATGTCTCTCTCACTCACCTAATTCGCCTCAAGTGTTTACAACACTTGCAGTACACTGCCAGGAAGATCAACACGATGAAACTGACAGCTGTTGTGGACAGTCCTACAGCTAGTCCCACTGTACCACCTGACACATGATAACAGTAACGTAGAGGGATAACGTAGTTCATGTCATCAACATACATCTAGAGACAGCTGCACATACAGAGTTATTAACGTGTGTATTGTATTAAACAACATAAGTGCCTGTGACACTAATATTTGTATTTTTCAAACAAGTAAAGTTTGGTTTTCACTATTGTAGTACATGTATGGAATCAAGTCACAAAAACGCAAGTGCTACAGAAAAGCATGCATTCCATGCAAAAAATGACTTTTATGCAAGTCCAATGCATTTCACTACCCAAGAATGGATATTAAAACACGTGCGTTAACGGGATTTCATATGCATTGCTTACCATGGTGCTGACAACAACCACTCAAAAAAAATAAAAAATTACGCAATTATTCAACCTTACGAAATGCCAACCCTATTTGAAAATTAGCGTCTGCGAGACATTGGTATGCTTGAAGCAGGATCGCAGGCCACGCGTAACCAATAATCGACAAAACAACTGGATTCGAACAACACACCTACGAAATCGATTCCAGCCAGCACGATGACTGCAAGAAGCATCCCTGGCCTTCGACGAATATCTTTACAAACCGTACGTCGCCGCCTCAGTTTCGCAATGATTGTCGCCAGAATGTTCGCTAGACGTCCCATTGTGACAGGAAGCCACCGTCAACCACGTCTACAGTGGTGCAGACAACGTCTACGCTTGACGGCCATGCAGTGGGGACACGTTCTATTCACTGACGAGTCTCGTTTTCACCTCATGATGGATTCGAGTGTACCGACGTCGAGGTGAACGTTACGTCAATCATTGTGTCATGGAAGAAGATTGGTTCGGGGGCGGCAGCGTTATGGTATGGGGTGGGGTTATAGCAAGACATAGGACCCGTTTGTTGGTGGTAGAGGGAAATCTCAATGGACAGCACTACTGCGGCGAGATCATCGGCCCTGTTGTTCTACCGTTTTTGCGTCGTCATTGCCAAGGCATTACCTTTCAACATGACAACGCCCGGCCTCATATTGCTCGACTTGTTCAGGATTCAACAAAACAACGTGAATGTCATCCCCTAGCCGGCTCGCTCCCTGATCTCTCACCAATCGAGCGCATGTAGGATGAGATGGATCGACGCCTTCGATGTCAACCACGTGTTCCACAGACACTCCAGGAACGTCGAAACATGCTCCAGCAGAAATGGGCAGATATCCCACATGACTTTGTGCGACGCCTTGTGCAGTCCATGAGACGAAGATGTGTTGCTTGTATCGCAACCAGAGATGGACACACACGCTATTGGTTTGTAAATTGACATTTTGGCAAGTTCATGTTTTGGTTTATGAAATCACGCATTTTCTGAAGTCAGTATGGCAAATTAGACCATTTGAACACTTACAAGGGTCTTTTATCTGTTGCAAACCGAAATTGTTTCAGATTTGGTAAAACAACATAACTTTGCATTAAATCTTATTCAATGTCACAGGAACTTTTGTTGTACTGATATTAATGACGGTATATGATTTGTCTGTATGTGACAAAGATGGCGTGCTTGCGTGCGTGCGTCAGGGTAGGTGCGGGGAGGAGTCCCATTATTACGCCCGCTAATGGATCAGTGGGGTCTCAGAAGTCATTTGCAGCTCCCTCGGGTGTATACACTATAGACTTGAGGAGAGTAATAATACTGACCTAGTCAATACCTACCAGATTCACAATCTGTCCCGAAGTAGGAGTCTACACATCCAGATACACAGAAGGAGCCCAGCTGACAATATCCTCCATCACAACCACCTGGGCATGCTGTACAGTTACTTCCTGGACTGTCACATGGTATGTTACACCTCCTGCCTTGATATCCTCGGATACATCCCTCGGTACAACGTCCGCCACCGTCGTCTGACTGACTACACAGGTTATATTTACAATATCCGTCACAAACAGACAAACATTTCTGATCAAAATACCCAGAGTCACACACAGTGAGGCAGTGTCCCGTCGTGTTGGCACAGTCTGAACAGTGTTGGTTAGCCTTACATTGACCAGCTGAAAGGTTAAGATATAGGTATTCATTAATGTATTTTTAAACACAATGTTATGGATAATAAGAATGATGTTATACAGGATTAAAACATGCGTAACTGCGGTCAGTAGATTATGCGACTGATTATTCATTAGCAATACTATTCTGCTGACTTTGATTTTGAGAAAATATATATAATAAATATGGAAATGTAATTATTATTTACAAATTGCTATATATTTGAAGTAATACTTTACTTTACAACCAACATGTTAATATTGATAGTTTAGTGAGTGTAAACTAGTGAATGAAAACTTAGATATCGAATTATATATCATGAAGTAGCGAACAAGTAGTTAAACAAACTCTCATGTAACTGTTGGTGTATTATAAGGCCTGTTGTCACAATGGGGTCTGCACCAACTCAGCCACCGAGGCCTCCACAAAAATGAAAGTTCGACAAATCCTCGGTTGCCGAGTGGGTTAGTTCGCTGACTTTGTGTGCAGGCGATTAGGTGCCTCACTCTGGCAGTGTGGGTTCAAATCCCGGACGGGACTACCCCCAACCCCCTGAAAGTCGGAGGTTGTGCGCTGCCAATGTTGAGACAGGAATTAAAGATTAATATTATAAAAGAGAGGGATTGTAGAAATTTTGAGATTACCATTGTGTTCCGCGATGCCCTTCAGCTGTTACGTTCATTGTGCAGAAACCTTGTAATAACAGGCTTAGAAACACCAACAGTTACCTGAAGGTTTGCTGCACAGTATCTTCTCTACTTCATGACAATGTCTGAAACTATGTTGACGAGTTGGGATGTAGAAATAAACAACGTTCGTGCCATTTAGGACGATTTGACGTTTTCTGATTTAAATCTCTATTGCATTTCATGTGTACGATTTCGCAGCAAACGGAATATAGTAACTTTATTACGTAGGTGATATGTTAGGTTGAAATAATATTTGACATTCACATAACGTCAGCTGAAGGTCGTATATGCAATTGCCTGACCGCGTCATACCAAAATACATAAAGGGGGCACATGTTGTTACATTCCTCTCGGCCTTAAGTCGATAAATCAAGAACTGGTCAGCTTGTATTCGGTATGCAGTGTCGGAGTGGGGTATCAATGTGATATTGTGGCATGGTATCTCAGCGAACTAGGATTACAAAACGAAGTCTGGGCTGGTGCATACACAAGTATACACGTTGCTATTTAAATTAAATTGTCTTGAACACCACGATAAACAAAATTTAACCTCATCTCGTTAGACAAGCCTGTCTTCAATAATAGCATATACTGATGTAAGGGTAGTACCAATAATAAAGACTGGATTTGCAAAGTTAACAATACAATGTTTTACCTTCAGCAGCAATTACCAATGATCCTATCCACATCAGCAGCGAGGCGACCATTATGGTGACTGAAACTGGTGTGAAAGAACAATGACGTCATCAACATTACCTTTAACATACACAACGAAACAACACGTGTTTGATGCCGAAACGTAAACGATAAATGGGTATGCAGACACCAAAGAGTTGCAGAGTTAGGCCAGAAGAGGGTGGCACTTTGTGTACTCACTAGTCTGAGAATATACACAGGGTGGCCATTGCAAGGAGCCGAGTGCCTTATTAATACTCATCAGTATCACATTGTTTAGTAACACTAGTTGTTGAAAGATGGTACCTGATGTTTCCAATGGCAAAAAGGGGATAACACAAGGTCTGCATTAAACCTCATTTAACAATACATGTAACACATACATACTTACAGTACAACATATACTTCTAGTGCATCATATACTAACAGAACAGCCTATACTTACAGTACAACATATACTTACAGTACAACATATACTTACATTACAGCCTATACTCACAGTGCAGCATATATTTACAGTACAGACTATACTTACAGTACAACATATACTTACAGTACAACATATACTTACAGTACAGCCTATACTCACAGTGCAGCATATAGTTACAGTACAGACTATTCTTACATTACAGCCTATACTTACAGCACATCAAATGCGTACATTACCAGCCTATACTCACAGTACATCATATACTTACAGTACAGCATATCCTTACAGTACAGCATATACTTACAGTAGAGCCTATACTCACAGTGCAGCATACATTTACAGTACAGACTATACTTACAGTACAGCCAATACTTACAGTACAGCATATACTCACAGTGCACCATATATTTACAGTACAACATATACTTACAATACAACATATACTTACAGTACAGAATATACTTACAACACAGCACATGCTTACATCACAGCCTATACTTACAGTACAGCATATACTTACAATACAACATCTACATACAATACAAAGTATACTTACAGAACAGCCTATACTTACAGTACATCATATACTTGCAGTACATCCTATACTTACAGTACATCATATACTTACAGTACAGCATGTGCGTACAGTGCAACATATACTTACAGGACAGCCTATACTTACAGTACAGCACATGCTTACATCACAGCCTATACTTACAGTACATCATATACTTACAGTACAAATTATACTTACATTACCGCATATACTTACATCACAGCCTATACTTGCAGGACAGCCTATACTTACAATACAACCTATACTTGCAGTACCAGGATAGACTTACATGACAGCCTATACTTACATGACAGCCTATACTTACAATACAACCTATACTTGCAGTACCAGGATAGACTTAAAGCACAGCCTATGCGTACAGTGCAACACATACTTACAGGACAGCCCATACTTTCAGTACAACATATACTTACAATACAAGCATATACTTACAGTACAAGCATATACTTACAGTACCGCATATACTTACAGTACAATCTATAGTTACATCACATCATATACTTACAGTTCCAGCATATACTTACAGTACAACATATACTTACATTACAGCATACACTTACAGTACCAGCATATACTTACACTACATCATATACTTACAATACATCATATACTTTCAGTACATCATATATGTACAACACAGCATATACTTACAGTACACCATATACTTACATTACCAGCATATACTCACATTGCAGCATATACTTACAATACATCATATACTTACAGTGTGGCATATATTTTACAGTACAGCCTATACTTACATCAAATCATATACTTATATTTCCAACATATACTTACAGTACAACATATACTTACAGTACAGCATATACTTACATTGGATCATATACTTACACTAATCATATACTTACATTATCATCATATACTTACATTACATCAAACACTTACAGTGCACCATATACTTACAGTACATCATATACTTACAGTACACCATATACTTACAGCACATCATATACTTACAGTTCCAGCATATACTTACATTACAGCATATACTTACAGTGCAGCATATACTTACAGTACAGCCTATACTTACATCACAGCATATACTTACATTTCCAACATATACTTACATTAAATCATATACTTACAGTACATCATATACTTACATTATCATCATATACTTACATTACATGAAACACCTACAGTACAGCATATACTTACAGTACAACATATACTTACAACACAGCATATACTTACAGTTTCAGCATATACTTACAGTACAGCATATACTTTCTGCACAGCCTTCTATACTTACAATACAGCATGTACTTACAGTCCAGCCTTCTATACGGACAGTCCCTGTTGATACAACATGCAGGCCAATAGTCATGTGTATCACATGTGTCTGAGGGGGCTTGGTGACTAATGTGCTACACAGGAAACACAGTTTCAATGGATCAATGGCTCCTGTTGGTGTTGCTGTCCTCCTTATCAGGAAGATGAAAATCAACACTGGCACGTGCAGGAGAAGGAAATAATTCCATGCAAATGTTGGATTCTAGACTCTGGTCACAGACATACAATCGTCAACAATCACCAGGAAGTTGAGAATATAACAGGATGGGCACTGATCATGTCATATTGCGTTGAGTCTAGTGGGAAACAATAGCCCAGTAATCGTCCGTTCCACACTTGTATCAGAGGGGCTGGCGATCTATGTTCTGTTACACAACTAGCACATTTCTTTCATAATCACATTTTACATCCTATTGAAAGTAACACTTACCTCCTAGCCAGGCGACGGATATACACCACTGTCACGTGAAGAACAGGACTCATTTCCATGCATTTGTGTCTAAACACTTTATTATGAACATGATGTATATTATATTAATGGTCTGTTTCACAATCATTTACCACACACAAAATATTCAGGAAGATAATATATTGTTTTTCTTGTAATAATACATGTTTTTTCTTTGTTAAGATTCCTTCCCTTTATCACCATGAACATTTCTAATTTAACTCTTCAATCGAGACTAATCATTTTGCAAAGAGCAGTTTTATTGTTACTAGACAGACTTCCTTTGTTTCCGACAATGGTCTCGTGGGTAAGAGAATATGTTTCGTGAAGTTGATTTTGTATATACTGATATGAAAATGTATGATACAGAATTTTAGTGACATCACATTTTTGGTACACACCTCCTCATCTCTACGACCGCACGTCCCCCATCTCTATACCTGCACCTCCCCATCTCTACACCCGCATCCCCCCACACCTCATCTCCACACCCGCACCCCCTCATCTCTACACCCACACGTCCCCATCTCTATACATGCACCTCCCCCTCTCCACACCAGCCCTTCCAATCTCTACACCCGCATCCACCCACACCTCCTCATCTCCACACCCGCACCGCCCAATCTCTACACCCGCTGCTCCCCATCTCGAAATTAACAAGATTGTGGAAGGTGTGAGGATTATGCCCTCTTACTATAGAATACTAAACGAGCTCCCGTGTAATACCAATTTTAGGAGACGACTGTAATACCTAGTTTAGGTCACGAGTTTCATAAAATTGGCCATTAATAACGTTTTTAGAATTATATTGTAAAGTGTGAATAGGCTGACACCTACACGATCCATAATTCAATTGAGTTTAATAGAATAATACTTCAAACAAGTCAGAAGTTGAAGCGTATGAATTTAATACCATACAACGGTCCACCTTTAAGCGACATTCACACTTGCGTTAGCAGCTGTAGTTATCCTTAGATATATTAACGTGGCCAAAATAACACTAACGTGTCGAAATCTGTAAAAAAAAGCTTGACTACATCGAACAAGGTTTCTATATCAAAGTGTTACCAGGGAAATGTTCGTCAAAATACCAACAAGTACGTTGTACTAGAGTCAACAACAATGAAGTACGAAAAGGGTGCTACACATCATCTACGTTTTCCTACGTTAAGCTAATTTAGACGACAGTAAAGTACATTAGCTAGTACATTCAGGTACGCTGAACTACATTTAAAAGCGTTACATTACGTTAAACTAAGGTAAACAACGCCCAGTTCGCACCAAAGAACAGGTTATATAAAGAGACATGTGGCTTTCATAATTCTTTCACTTTTGAATTCCTCACAAAACACATACATATTTCATTCCTTTCGTCATTTTAGTCTTAGTTAGGGTTAGCTTAACTAAACTCTAGCTATGAGGAAAACAAGAAACAGGAGGGGTCAAACCCCAGCTGCTAACATTGCTGACGTCACTGAAGTTCCTTATAATCCTATGTTTCTTGGGTTGCTGAGTATCCGATCTATGAAGACTTTCAGGATATTGATAAAGTTGATGCCACTCCCCCAGATCCAGAAAGCTCTCAGAGTTGCAATGTCCAGGAAGCGGCAGCTGGTGCAAGTACAGGCACAAGCGAGGAATCAAGCAAAGGCACATGTACAGCAACAACAGTGCCCAACCTCATCCACATCTGCTATCTCAGAAGCAAGCACACCATCAGCAGCCAAACATTGCTGTTTCACAGCAGCAACAGTGCCCAACCTCATCCACATCTGCTATCTCAGAAGCAAGCACACCATCAGCAGCCAAACATTGCTGTTTCACAGCAGCAACAGTGCCCAACGGGATGGATGCCACCCTGGTAGCATGTTGATCAACCGCAGCAGCCGCAGCAGGGACAGTCAGAGCAGTCTTCAAGTGCACCTCCAGCACACTCTCTACAGGACTTCCTTCAATTCTAGAATGGAGGTTTTGAGGAATATATTGACCTTTGTTCCTGTTTGGCAACCACTGTCACAACTGCCTGGAGGATCAAAGACTGTTGATGCTTCCCTGTATTTTTATTTTGTATGTTTGTTTGTATTTTAAACATAAAGACGAAATAAAAATACAAATGTGATGCTGTTGATATGATATGATATGAAAACAGCCAAAATATTAACTAAAAGACTTTGTGCTAACAAACCAAAACAACTTGCTTGTTCCTATTAAAAGGCCATTCGAAACAAATTCTGTAAATGAGGTCCTATTTTCAAATATAGATATAATCTAAATTGAAAATAGATGTTAGAAGACCCTCACTCAATTATAGGTAAAGCTTAAATATAGTTAAAGCTGCTTCACTGTATTGAATCAGTCAAATCTTACCCTTTAAAGGTTTTCCATCGTTTTGATAGAGACATCTTTGTTTAGTATTCACGCAAAATCTGATATCATTTTGTCCAATAATAAGGGGTGAAAAGGAGGGTCAGAACTATTGGGTCGTACTCTACATCTTGGCTGCAAAGATTTAATAGCACGTGCAACAATGGAATGGTTTCATTAGCCAACTCTGCATGGCAAAGGCATCATCTGCAATGATGTAATAAGGTTTATCAACATCATCAACTGTAAAGGCTCTGCATCTGGTATACCCAATATTCCCTGTTGTATTGTTTGGTGGAGGGCACAGTGGTTCCATATTTGGCTATCGGAGCTGGACCCAACATCACCAACCTGAATCCATCGGAATTTGAACCCCTTGTAGTTATAATAGGAATAGCCTGAATTCGATTTTTCTTTTATGGCGATATGCTTGCCATCAAAAGCACCCAAGACAGGTGGAAACTGCCATCTTCCTTGAACTCGCTCTGCTGCTTGTAACCAATTTTAGGGTTCAAAGGAGTCTTCATAACCTCGGCTTCCATGACATCCAAAAAAGCCTTAAACACGGAAACATTAATCCCTGAGATGGTGCTGTGAGCAAGTCTTAAATTATACATCAGTGAGGGGTATGAGTCTCCAGTAGCCAAGAACCTTAATGTCACAGCCAGCTTGAGTCCAGGAGACACAGGGTCACGCCATCGGGTCCTATTCTTGGTGAGCCGGTCCTCTACCCTTGCTAACAGTTCATGGAATGTGGCCATGTCCAAGCGCAGAAAGTTCAGGAAAGCTTCAAGATCCTCAAGTAATTCTTCCATCAGGGCGTCATACTGACCATGGATTGATCTGCGCAGAAGCCAGTCACGAGCCCACCATCTTCTCTGTTTTCTCTGCCTCTCTTCATCCTCGTCAAATTGCATAAGACACTGGGCATAACATAGCAGCTCTTTGTTGACAACAGCACAGAACCAAATCATGTTTACTCTTCTATCACTCATGTTGTGTCTGCAGAGTTCAGACAACAAATGATCAGACTGATGTCATCATGGGTTATAAATATCACGTGTATCAACCCATACTTGACACCTAGTTATCTGTAGTTTATCTTAGTTTAACTTATTTAAACGTATTTTAACTTACTTTAACTTACATGTGCTAAGAGCACACCTAGCAAGACGTGATATATCATTTTCAAAACGCAGATTACTGTACAAATACTTAGGTCACTGAAATGAAACGTTCTTTGATGTCAATAAAGTAAATGTAGTGTAGTGTAGTATAACGGGGTCATGTGAAGTTAAACAAAGTTAGACGGACTTGTGCCCGTACTAAGATATAGTTTACCGTAGTTGTTTGCAGATATGCCTTAAAAACTACGATGTTCGTTACGTTTGGCTACAGTATGCCATGGTTATAACTACGGCAAACTACATCTAACAACATTAAACTAAGTTATTACTACGTTAACAAAAATGTCAGCTTACGTGGCTATCTGTTGTTCATGCACAACATATAAATCCCTAAGTACGTCTTTTTCACGTTAATGGCTACGTCATGAACATGACGTATTGTTGGGGTCATCGAGTGTGCATAAGGTCCAATCAGTGATATATCACCTCCAGAAGCAATGTCGTTGAATAAGCCAAGGGATGTTGAGAGCTTTCAATATTTGTTTGTGAAACGTGTTCCTAGAGTAGATAAGCACGTGTTTTGGAATTACACACTGCGTAATACAGCTGTATGTTTATCAAACGGGTGATCTCTTCACGGGAAAGTAATAATGTCAAATGTTTTACAGTGGAAGAATAGACTGTTGGATACAATAATGTCGTCAATTACACTGGAGCCTGAGTGACCGATGTATAAGTACAATTACCTATATCTAAATCCCTACCACAGCGACCATTTGGAATAGACATGTCGAGAGCGGCAGACATATTTACAATATATTTTCCGGGATTGTTTAAAATGATATCACATGACATTGCATCTATGTTGAAACTCTAATCCAACACCTCCCCATCGCTACACTCGCACTTCCCCACCTCCACACCCAGAATATCGCCATTTCCACACCCACACCTCCCCATCACTACACTAGCGCTTCCCCACCTCTACACCCAGAATATCGCCATTTCCACACCCACACCTCCCCATGGCTACATTCGCACTTCCCCACCTCCACACCCAAAATATCTCCATTTCCACACCCACACTTCCCCATCGCTACACTGGCACTTCCCCACCTCCACACCCAAAATCTCGCCACTTCCACACCCACACCTCCCCATCTAAACACTCGCACTTCCCCACCTCCACACCCATAATCTCACCATGTCCACGCCCACACCTCCCCATCGCTACACTCGCACTTCCCCACCTCCACACCCAGAATATCGCCATTTCCACACCCACACTTCCCCATCGCTACACTAGCGCTTCCCCACCTCTACACCCAGACTATCGCCATTTCCATACCCAAACCTCCCCATGGCTACACTCGCACTTCCCCACCTCCACACCCAAAATATCTCCATTTCCACACCCACACCTCCCCATCGCTACACTGGCACTTCCCCACCTCCACACCCATAATCTCACCATGTCCACGCCCACACCTCCCCATCTAAACACTCGCACTTCCCCACCTCCACACCCATAATCTCACCATGTCCACGCCCACACCTCCCCATCGCTACACTCGCACTTCCCCACCTCCACACCCAGAATATCGCCATTTCCACACCCACACCTCCCCATCGCTACACTCGCACTTCCCCACCTCCACACCCAGAATATCGCCATTTCCACACCCACACCTCCCCATCGCTACACTCGCGCTTCCCCACCTCTACACCCAGAATATCGCCATTTCCACACCCACACCTCCCCATGGCTACACTCGCACTTCCCCACCTCCACACCCAAAATATCGCCATTTCCACACCCACACCTCCCCATCGCTACACTGGCACTTCCCCACCTCCACACCCATAATCTCACCATGTCCACGCCCACACCTCCCCGTCGCTACACTCGCACTTCCCCACCTCCACACCCAGAATCTCACCATTTCCACACCCACACCTCCCCATCTCTACACTCATACCTCCGCAACTCCATCCCTTCCTTTCTCTACACCAACCACATCCTCCATCAGACTCTGTTGTGTGGTAGCGTCATGGCCTTTCACTGTCTTATCTTGAGTCATGGGCGTCCTTTTGTTGTTTTGTTCATAAAAGGCAACTTGTTGATGGCGTGTATTGTCAGGTTGAATATTTATACCCAGTCGTCATATTGACTGACAAGTTAGTGGCGTGTGGAGTGTGGCGTTAAACAACAAACAGACACATTACCATCTCACCCACCCCACCCACTACCAAAAGCATAGTGCAGTCGCCTATACATCAATCCAAACACTGACATAAGCCTTGTGTAAAAAGGGAGACAACCATGTATGCCATACTTGAGAGTCATTGTTTGATTGATGCAGAAAGGCTACCTGACCTCTAATGTTTCTGATAATGTCTGATTTTTTTCCCTGGAACACTTTGTACTATGTGATACACTGAAAAGCGTTGTATGTGTCGTTCCTGAAATACACCATCTCCTAGCATGTTTGGTGAACATTTATAGGTGGACTATGCAATGGCTTTCCTCACAGAACGTCGTTGTTGTGGAGTAGTGATAACATAAGACAGGTGACCAGGGGGTATGGAATATAGAAGAAAGAAAGAAATGGCATTTACACAAACACTCCAAATCTACAGAGACACGACAAGGACGATAATGAGTATGTAATGTACATTGAATTGAACTCATTTTAATTGTTTGAAAATGTTGACAAGAAAATGATAATATACAATCAACAATCTGTATCGTATTGGTCCACATACAAAGATACATGATTCTACAATAGGCAATAAGCAATAGAGTTACACTTCATTAAGATAGTGCAAAGGAATTCTTATAAAAGTTATTATCATAATAATAGTGTCAGTTAACAGAACTTATTTAAATTGACTGCAACGGAGGTTACAATACAACATGAATGAAATGTACATCACATAGAATTAATTGAATGTAATATATTTATGTAGTACATAGATACATTTATAACATGAACATGTCTCTTGTCTTGTGCTAAAATGTATATACACCGTGCTGTGTTCTTGTCGAAAGAGTCAACACAATAATTATATCAATTCGACCAGCTCGATGAAGTGGTTGATTCCATGGCATTACATACCATCTGCGTGGTGCCATGCTCCTACAGTAAATCACTGGATTGGCTCGAGTATTTACTGACCACCGTTATTTAGCCGGAACGTTGCTGAGGCGTTAAACATCAAGTACTACATTACATGGCTTGTGTTCTCTGCCATGAAATAAATAAACATGTTGAGTAAAATCAGTCATATCCCTGATTATTTCATTCAAGTCTACAGTTACAGTAGTAATATTAGTACATGTTTGATGTTGTCAAGATGAAGAAAAACACTCTGAATCAGTGGTACTTCTCACTGACTTCTTGATCGGTCACGTCTCTACCATCTCCCATCCTGTTATTAAATCACTCTTTATGTTTTCTAAGTAATAATGTCTGTTTCATCAGCTAATCACTTGATTTATTACTTTTGTCAGATTGATAGAGGTTATCACGTGTGTGTGTTTCCAGATGATAATTATCGTGTATTAAGAATAAACATTGTATTTAGATGATACCAGGTGTTCCCTTACATATTTCACCCAATATATATAAGTAATATGCTACAGGTATAAGTTGGACGGGATGAAAGCATCTCTGAAGAATAACGTGCCTGTGTACTGTCTAAAGTTGTTTACACACAATTGATATACATTCGTATATACAAAGGTTGCTCAAATCAATGCCTACATAACTATGTTTAAGATAAAATGTAAAATCAAGAATGACCTATGAATATTGGTATTGTATTCTAAGAGGACCAGTTTAAAAACAAAAAACAAAAAAAAAAAACAGGAGGTTTAATCTCCTCAGGTAACCTACTTGCAAACTGGCATAAATGAAGTTCGGCGTACGTTTGGTAACTGTTCTAAACGACTTACTCTTTGTTAGAAACAACCAAGTATTATGTTTTGTGGACGTAGACATTGATATTGAAAGAATGAGTATAAAAAAACTGTGATGGCTCTCCTCAAGACAATGAAGACTCAACACCTGATGTGTGCTGAACAAAATATAAACTTTCTACACATGACTGTGAAGGTCACAAATTTAACTGAAAAGAGTCTACATGTTCAAGTGAAAACTGATCTCGTGCATGTAGTAGAGTATGTTTTACAGAATATTTTGTCCTGATATTTTGAACACGCTGACATTGAGCTCGTCTGTCCCTCTCGTCCCTCCTACAATTTATGGATTTGGTTTTGAGATCGTTGAAGGAAGGTGGGGTAGCCTAATCATTACAGAAAGTGTTTGTCACGCAAATGGCCAGGGTTCGTTTCCCCAAATGGACACAATGTGTAGGATTATATTCATTCTACCCCTTTGATAAAAAAACAACTCATTTAAACTGGTAACTGGGATGTTTAAACAGGATATTGTAATTTTGTATTGTGTTAACAAGGTACTCAAAAGTCCTTTGAGCGAGATAATAGTTTGTTTCAACCAAAATATACATCTTATTGTTCTTTCTAATCAATGCATGGAGATATTCGGCTTTCATAGTGCATGTGTACCCAACAGGAATGTGTCAAGGAAACTTTGGGAACATTTTCTTATAAACGCCTGAGTTTCCAGACACGTGAAGAAAACTGATACAATATTACTTAAAACACATCTGGCACAACGTCAGAGTTAACAAAACTCTATTTCCTTTTAGCAAACAATTATTTTCGTTCAAATAATTCAAAAGGAGGTAGTACCAACATCAAAACGCACAAGGGATACATTGAAATCTATTTGACAAATACAGGATACCGAGCATATGTACATGTCACTTTTACAGTAGACATATATCAATCAACGTGAACAATTGAAGGTGCACTGGATGAGAAAATAGTTAAAAATGGAATAGATACACTCACATCCATAGGTTATGTGCAGTAATAGTTACATGTATTGAAACAACATTTCTTCTCGGTCAATTGTATCCGGTTAAATATCTATTTCTGATTTTATGTATCAAAGGGGGGATATTTAAATTCATGAGTAAATTCAATGTTAAACCATTATTTTCATTTCTTAGAAACAAATATTAAGTAATTATTTATTTGCCATCTCCTGCTGAACAAGAATGACGATATCGTTTGTCAAACACCAGTAGCAGTAAGGCATGCACTCCCTTTACCACCAGTGTCTAGTCACACCAGCCTCGAACATCTAGTATCAGATGACTTCTTGACATGCCACATGTAGTAATGTGTCTCCTTGTTTTAGGACATGATCATAGCTGTTGGATCTGTTTTTCAGGTTGTCCACTAGCCCTCTCACAGATGACTTCTGAGTAGCACTGGTGGGGCTGCATTGCCTTCTTATCAGGGACAGACACTTTACTAACACACGGATTCATCGCCGCAGACAATCGTCTGACCTCCCTGTCTTTCTCTAGTAGTTCTATGATTTGTCTGCATCCTACTTTATGAGCGTGATCTAAAGAGTTATTCCCTGCATTGTCAACTAGCGACAAGTCTGCCTCCCTTCCTCGAAGATATTCGAACGTAGCGACTTTGCCATGTAATACTGACGTCATAACAGGTGTCAAGCCAGCGTTGTCTTTAGTGTTGATGTCAAAAGAGTCTATGATGTATTTCACCATATGAAGCTGACCATGCTGAGTAGCAAGATGTAGAAGAGTGTGTCCATCCTTGTCCACCAGAGATTGGTCAGCACCACGGGACACCAAGAACCGGAACACAGCAATATGTCCTCCACACACTGCCCTCATTAGCGGTGTCTGGTCATTCCTGCCTCTGATGTTGATGTCAAAGCTCTTTTTCTTGAACAAAGATTCCTGTCTTTGTGTTGCTATATCATGGTATTTAGTGCTGACATCATTCTTTAGCGGTAGACATTCCACAATGGAACTAATTCCACCCTGACATGCTAAATGGAACACAGAATCGCCGTGGCTATCCTTCATGGAAACATCAGCTCCCTTGGACACAAGCAGGTGGAACACGCTCCTTCTTCCATAAGCAACTGCATTCATAAGTGGTGTCCAGCCATCTTTTCCAGGTACCTTAATGACGAACTTAGGCAGGAGGTCGTTTACGATGGAACGATTCCCACCCTGACATGCAAGGTGAAGTGCATTGTTCCCGTACTCATCAGTCGGGGTGAGATCTGCATTTCTTGACACAAGTAAGTTGAACACATTCTTCTGTCCTGCCCTCGCTGCATGCATTACTGGTGTCCGGTCGTTCCTTCCCCGAAGATCGACATCAAATATTGTCAAAAGATATTCTACAATAGCTGTGTTCCCTCCCTGGCATGCCATATGTAGAACATTGTCTTTGTATTCATCAGTCGAAGTGAGATCAGCTTTCTGACTCACAAGCAGAAAAAACACATCCTTCCTGCCAGACCTTGCTGCATTCATAACTGCTGTCCGGTCATGTCTTCCGGGAGCATTGATGTCAAACTGGGGCATGAGATATTTCACAATACATTGGTTTCCACCCTGACACGCAATGTGCAAGACCGTGTCATTATAATCATCAGTCAGTGTGATATCGGCCTTCTTCGACAACAGTAGTTTAAACAGAGTTTGTTTTGCAAGCAGAGCTGCAATCATTACAGCTGTTCTCCCGTGGTTTCCCTGACAATTGATATCAGTTCTTGAGAGTAGATATTTCACAATGGAAATATTTCCACCTATACATGCTAAATGGAATGCAGAATTGTTGTTGTCATCCCTCAGCGCTACATCCGCCCCATGTGACACAAGCAGGTGGAACACACTCTCTACTCCACTGGCAGCTGCACACATCACTGGCGTCCATCCGTTGTTTCCCCGACTGTTGATGTCAAACTTTGGCAGCAATATCATCACAATGGAGACATTTCCCCCATGGCATGCAAGATGGAGGAGATTGTTGTTGGTGTCATCTGTTAGTTTCAGGTCAACGTTAAGCGTATCCAGGAAGAGTCGAAATAGATCCGCCTTTCCATTTACAGCTGCAGTCATGACTGGCGTCCATCCGTGTTTTCCCCGAATGTTAATGTCAAACTTAGGCACTATTTGCACTACAAGGGACACATCATCAACATGGCAAGCCACATGATTGAGGCTGTTGTTGTCATCATCTGTCAATAAGATGTCAGCATTGTGTGAAACAAGAAGGTCGAGAGTTTCCTTTGTCTCAGACAATAATGCACACATCACTGGCGTCTGTCCATTGTTGCCACGTGTATTTACATCTGTGATGGGGAGCAGACTTTCAACAATTGATGTATTTCCATACCGACATGCGAGATGAAGAGGTGTGTCGTTTTTGCTATCTCTTAATGTTAAATCTACTTTTGTTTGGATAAGATAGTCTAAAACATCCTTCTTGCCAGAGAGCACTGCACACATAAGTGGGGTCCAGTCATGTCTTCCTCGAGCATTAAGATACAAGTCAGGGCGAAGTTTCTTGAATGCCATGCTTATGTGTTTTACAGTGAGCAAAGATCCATGCTGACAGGCCAAATGCAGTAAATTGTAGTTGTTGCTATCACATAACTTAATGTCAGCTTTTCTATTCACAAGAATGTCAAAACAACCCATCTGCCCTGAGACAACTGCGTACATTAATGGTGTCCAGCCACAAAGGCCATGCCTATCAATATAACAGTAGGGAAGAAGTCGTTCCAAGACATTTTTGTTCCCAGTGATACAGGCATATTGTAGAATGTTGTGCTTGACGTCATCAGACAGGGCGGCTGGTTCTTTGATCATTTCACATAAGCTGTCGGCTATTTTGTTTTCCTTTAACGTGAGATGCATGATGTATTTATTGAATGCACCACTAACAATAGCATCAGCCATCCTCTTAGCAATTAATCCACTGTAGGCCCCTGAGAAAGGAATGCTGAGTTTGTGTTCAATAAGAGGAGAACCCTTGGCTCGCTGATCTTGTACATGCTCAAAGAGGAACGTAATACCGCAATGTTTAAGAGTAAACTCTTGGTCAATACTGAACAAAACAGAAGCACATACATCATAAATCACAGAATGCGAAAATGCTGTGGTGTTTCCTTCCGTACAAATTGTACCACAGAAGCCCCTGACAGCTTTCACAACATCCTTTCTTGCTGACGTCTTCACAATACTTGAAACAGCCTTGAAGTGAGCCTCTAGGCCGGAGTCAGATGCAGCCTCCAGCTGGCTGATGTTTAGCTGCCCTTCGCACAGCAGCAGCAGGATGAGAGCAGCTGACTTGTCGTCCAATAGGCTGATAATCGTATGAAGTTCATGTTTTATATAAAAAAGAGGGTCCTCGAAAAAACGTTCACGGTATGTTTGAAAACCAGTATATCTAGAGAAAAGTTTACATGCAAGAGGAAATCCGACAGTTGTTTCCATTAATGCAATAATTTTGTTCATATCAACATCTGCCCTACATTTGTACTGACGTTTGTGATTCAACCATATTGCTTTGCTCTCCTCGTGTGTATAGCAAAGAGATGTAGTCTTTGTCAGGATAATCTCTGAAATGGGCTGGTCTTCTAGCATTGACAGTGTATGCTCAAGGTTGTTAGTTTCAGAAGTAAATATACAAAAGATGTTTAAATGGACCATAACTCTCTGGTCCGCTCTTGATTCCTGCCTCAGACTCTCATAGCTTCTCTCCGACCTGGACTTACACTGTTCTAGGAGCGTAAGCAGGTCATACAGCAAGTGTGTAAGACGAGGCATATCCGTGTATGATCTGAATGTCTTAAACATGTCGTCAAATATGACACACACATCTCTGTCTTTATCTAGAAAATCAGACAACTGCACTTTATCTACATCTTCAATCAGTACCAGCTCATACCCCTGCCTCCTGTATTCAGCTCCCAGCATCAGGGCCATGGATGTTTTACCAGATCCTGGAGCACCGCTTATTGTCACATGACCAACCATCTGCAATCTTTCTTTAACCTCCTCAAAGGCCTCAGTTTCAACAAAGATGCTTTGAATATCCTTTATTTTCCTTTCGTCCGTTTCTGTAAAGGTAGATAATAAACAAAGTGAGAAATTCAGCATTACCAGATATATATATGCAATATACGGATATATACACATGCACACGTTCATAATTATTGTCTACGGTGATGTATCTCTTTTTTAAAGTCACAATAACCTTATCTTCAACAGCGTTCAAAAATATATACTGTCGACTAATAGATTCGAGTAACCTATTATCATTAATACAGAATATATTTCTGCGACCATTTATTATTAATTACGCCATCAGTGAATAAACTGCATGCATGTATATGAATGCATGGGTATCTCTATTTCCTTCTGTAAACATACTGTTTAAGAAAGTAAATATATCCTGGTGTATGTGTGTAAATATGTGTATGTATATATATATGTATGCATGCGTATATAAGGGTATATGTGTATGTATGTACATGTAGTGCGTGTATGTATGCATATATGTACATGTACGTACATAAGTGTATGTATGATAATGTAATTATATATGTAGTCTTGCATGTATTTTGGATTAATGTGTATATACAAGTAAATTGTGTCTATAGGCAATTCTTATGTATGTCTTAGTTATTCTTGCAAACATTATGTTTATGTTCTTGAGTAAATATATTTCTCTTTGTTACTATAAATGTAATATGTGCATATGTATTTGAGTATGTGTATGTATGAATGAGTATGTATGATTGTGTATATATGATTATGTGTATATGTATGTATTTCTGTATACGTATGTATATGTATGTGTGTACGTATATATGTATATATTTGTTTAATCAATGTCTGTACATATAGAGTAGGGAAAGGGCCATCTAAGTTGGATAACTTTTGCCCAATCTCGTTGACCATATATGTCAATAAAATATGTTTAAAACAAAACAATTATTGTCTCACTAGATATTGGGACCGTGGATTAGCCGAGTGTTTAAAACTCAACTCCAACATGAATACAATCTGTGAAGCTGTGGGGTGCCCCCAGCTGTGATACTGCTGGAGCATTGCTAAAAGCGGTGGAAATCATACTCACACTCACTCACCCCCTACATGTATACATATTACTATTTTGTTACTATTATCATGAGCATGCAATATGAGCATATATTGTACAGTTACATCGCCAGAGCACTGCCTCGTGTGTTATGTAATACACTCAATTTGTTTTCAATAACTCACGTTCCAAAATACTTGTTTGAAGGCAATTTTATATTTTCAAGGTTACTGATTTATCAAATTCCCCAGGATGCAGTTGGGATACATAGATGTGTAAATGCACGAAGAAATATTTGAATAATCAGTTTCAATAAGGTGTCATGTTCTTACCAGACAGCAGGTTTACATTGTCCAATAAACTGCAGGAGAAATCATCGTCTCTCTTTACTGCTGGTGAGATAATTGCAATAAGTGGATTATATACATGTTTTGGGGGGTGTTTTTTAACATGTGTACTATATATACACATTAATGTAATTCACTGCAATATACAATGATGTAGACGGATTTTGAAAACATAGCAATTGCAGCATTATTGCTCAATTTGTCGAAATTATTATCACAATCATTAAATGCATCATACATCTTATTATATCCATCGTCGTTGTTCTATGTATTGGGTTACAGATTATGGCACATGACATCTATTCAATTACTTGTACCTAAGACTCTTGGTCAAAAGTACCAAGTCCGATAAAAAGTCACCTTTCAAAATGCTGGCAAACCTTGCTCCTCCTTGCTTTGCCACGAAGGGTTCTAAACATAACATAAACATGACTGTTGGATCAAACATCTGCAATCTAAGCTTGAATGTCAATTTTTCGTTTGCATAATATAGTGTACATTGTTCTGAAAGAAGATAATTTCGATGACATTTGTTATACAGACGGTATTGAAGCTAGCGCCAGAATGTTCAACAGTCATGAAAACACATTCTCATTATTTACTTGTCAGTCTCTGATCAAGATGTATCTACCCAAAAGCTAATGAAGTCATACTTTCATATTTTAAGGCAATAAATGCATATGACCAGATTTAGCAGATTTGAGCAGTTTTAAATCTCCTATATAAACATAAATAATGATATACTCTCGCTTTTAGTAAAATTATATAACTGTGTATGCTTACCGTCTTCACCAATCCTGTAAGTAGAGTATTAAAAAAATCAAAACGTTTATAAATCAACTGATCCTATTTAATATATTTAGGAATGAGACGATCATCATTGCATATTTGCGCTTACAGTATATGTTGTTTCCGTGTCTTTTGATGATTGACCTTACAAATGCGTATTTAGTGACGATGATGATGATAATGATGAAGATGATACTGATGATGACGATGATGGTGACGAAGATGATGATGATGGTGATTAATGCTACTGCTGCTGATGCTGATGGTGATAATGCTACTGATGATGATGATGATGGTGATAATGCTACTGCTCATGATGATGGTGATAATGCTACTGCTCATGATGATGGCGATAATGCTACTGCTGATGATGATGGCGATAATGCTACTGCTCATGATGATGATGATGATGGTGATAATGCTACTGCTGACGGTGATGATGGTGATAATGCTACTGCTCATCATGATGGTGATAATGCTACTGCTCATCATGATGATGATGATGGTGATAATGCTACTGCTGATGATGATGATGGTGATAATGCTACTGCTCATGATGATGGCGATAATGCTACTGCTCATGATGATGGCGATAATGCTACTGCTCATGATGATGGTGATAATGCTACTGCTCATGATGATGATGGTGATAATGCTACTGCTCATGATGATGGTGATAATGCTACTGCTCATGATGATGGTGATAATGCTACTGATGATGATGATGATGATGGTGATAATGCTACTGCTCATGATGATGGCGATAATGCTACTGCTCATGATGATGGCGATAATGCTACTGCTGACGATGATGGTGATAATGCTACTGCTCATGATGATGGCGATAATGCTACTGCTCATGATGATGGTGATAATGCTACTGATGATGATGATGATGGTGATAATGCTACTGCTCATGATGATGGCGATAATGCTACTGCTCATGCTGATGGCGATAATGCTACTGCTGACGATGATGGTGATAATGCTACTGCTCATGATGATGGCGATAATGCTACTGCTGACGGTGATGAAGATGAAGAAGAAGACACACTGCCTCACGTTCTATTTCTGTATAATCTTTTAGCTGTAGTGGTTGTTCTCCAGCATGGAATTATAGCTGTCACTGCATTTGTCAGCCAGGTGCCTCCCCTTTTCGGTTTTCGTCTATAAAGAATGCTGAAGATACACAGACAACTATTGTCGGTTACCAAAGGATATGTAAACTGTAAAATGTAAGCTGTTTCATTGCAACTCAAAACAGAAGCTCACCTCACACTGATTAATACTTACTACATACACTAGAATATGATAATATTTACAATACACTCTTAATATAACCAAACTATTGTTATATTTATGTCGAATGACCTGTATTGAGAGTAGCAGAATGTTCACTTGGACGTCAACTTGTAACTCAAGATGTGCTGTTTTCAGCAAACAAACAAAACACAACAGAATAATCTGGAACTTCAATCTTTTGCCGGGCACACACTTACAGTATTAACACCACCACAGCGAGGACAATCAGGATGAGGAACACAGGGACAAGTATTGCAGTCAGGTCCGGTGTTGTCTCTGGCCTAGATTCACTCGGTGTTATTGAGGATGTGTCTGTGACCCAGGCTTAGGTGAGAAACATAAACAAACAGCAAAAAGACATACAATATTATCATCATTCTCCACGTATCCCCCAGTTTGTGATTATGTAAAGATTATGTAAAGACATTAAGGCAAGAAGTAGGTATTCCATTGGGCACCAACTGTGCTACCCTTCTTGTGGATCTGTTTGTTATGCACATGAATCAGACTTTCCTCTCAGAATGGCAAAGTTGAAACAATGTAATTTAACTTAAGCTTATGTCAGCAAGTATATCGAAGACCTGATGTCATCCAAAACATGAAATAGCCAATTCCCTTCCACTGATTTAGCCTCTTGAACTAGTAATTAAGGCGACCGATGAGACCACCCCATCTCTTTAATATTTAGATGTATGGATATCAAGTCAGAAAACACTCATCATGAGATTGTATGATAAGAGGAGTTCAACATTCCAATAGTCAAATCTGGTGTTTACATTTCACAACGTTTGAGGAACAATCGAGTATGTTCTTTCTGACAAGATTACAGAGACCGTCATACGACCCTTGCTCAGAAGTTGTCGTGAGCAGTGACTTAAACAAATTGCAGAAGCCGTGAAAACGTTTTGTGGTAGCTACGGTGAGGACATTTCCAAATTTGTCGCACGAGTGACATAAAATCATCCACCTTATGTTTCCGCGTTTTTGTTTCAAGTAAACAGTTGATTTGCTGCATTTGCATGTGTTTGTGATATGTGCCACCGATGGAGATGGATATCCTCACCTTTCGAAAACACCTGTATCATACCTGCTTGACTGTGATTCATTAGTACATGCTCATAATCTATTCGGATCGTACAATATACTCACTTTCTTGTGATAAAGAAAAGGGTTGTGTAGCGATTATTTATTGTGCTCACGTGTTCTGTATTCCCTGGGAGGTGTCGCCGCCGTCACTGTGCAGACATAAATGAAGTTTGCGTTATACACAGAAACACCACGACCGCAAGTTTATGTAGTTGCCATGTTGTTTCATTCCATGAAATTCTAATCGTTTGAGGAAATAGGAATAATTCATAACAGTTTTGGTACATAATATATATATATAACTTTTTTTGTTTTAGTTATAAAATAATGCTACAGAGGCAATTTGATAAAACATTCCATGGCTATATTTCTCTGGGCACCGTCATCTTATAATCGGTTGTTTCGATTGCATACCTTATTTGATCTGTTTCCTTTCTGGCAATGTCCTCAGAAGAAATGTGATTAGATAAAGGTTTCAAATTCGAGTAACTTTATAATTGCTCATATGACATTTTCAGGATACCATCCAACAAATCAGTTAGTGTGTGTATATTTTATTTGATGCATAAATGTATACCAACTGCCTGATTATGTAATAACCAAAAACAGCTATTTGCAAAATCATAATATTTATGCTAGTTTGTAAGTTGTTTAACACGGCACTAAGCAGTATTCCAGCTATATGACGACTGTTTGTAAAGACTCCAGTATTTGACATCATGATGAGCATCGATATGGTCAAGGATAACGGTACATGCATCAATTAAGTCAACGAGTCTGACCACCCGACAATCGTGGGTTGCTGAAGATCTTTTCTGACCAGATTCTTCATGGTGAAGATTATGAACATGGCAAATGCTGCATTAGGTGTTTTGTGTTTATATGTGGTGTTAATATTACAATACAGCAACAGTCTGTTGTTAATGCATATCACCATGCACTATTACAGGTTTAAATGTTCAATTTGTTGTCACACCTGGAGTAATGTTGCAATAGTCTCCTGTGTAGTTTCCACTACAACCAAACGTGCAGATGCCATTTTGGCGATTACAGATGTTTCTCAAGCAGTTCTTGCTACAAGCGTGGTCACAGAGATCCTCAAACCACCCCGGCACACACCCCTCCGAGCACCTCCCTGTCTCCTTGTGGCAGTGTCTGAGGTTTCGTACTGGGTGAGAGATGCAGTTCGAAGGGCAATCTTTGTCGCACTTGTCTCCATATTTCCCCCATCCACAGCTGTCTTCTCCGTATGCTTCAAATACTAAATGTTGAAATAGAAGAAATTTTAAATGTTTTCATTCTCTGAGGTAAAATCGGAAGCTACAGTTCAGTAACTTAAGGTTGACTAAGCTTTAAGTTAATCAAAATAATGGTAAAACAAAAGTATAGCTTTGTCAATTACCATGCTCAACAGTGTTTCATTAGTATTGTCTGTATAATGAATACTTACATATGCCTTACTTTACCTTCCCGGTTCGCCCCAATTATGTTTCTAGGTTTGTCAGAAACATACCCATGGCCGTGGGTTTCACCGAAGTGGTAAACGTCTGAGACCTGCATCACTTCAGGCTTTCCTCCCATATTAAGCTGACACGCCGTGATATAACTGGAATGCTGTTAAAAGCGGCGTTAAACCCAACTCACTCACTCACTCGCTCTACTTTACCTAACAAGGATAAGGAAAGAAACCAATGAATCAGCTTCTTCTGATACTGACATGGTAAATGGTGCATCTACCCCTCTCTGGTGCTCAAGCCTTTCAACTACATAGGGAAATGTTGCAAGAGGGCAACGCCTGTTCACTCCCAGATTCTACCAATATATTGATCATAGTTTTATTAAATGATTCCCTGATGTTATTGTTCTTTTCGATTCCCAAAACGAGCAACGGTGCCATGTTGTACATCTCAGTCAAGATGACAGCTAGATATGCAAGTACATAGGACTGAATGAGTTAGAGACGATTCACAGGACTGGTATTAAGCCTTATGAAACTATGGTGCAGGTGTAGGGAATTATGAAAACAAATATATACGTTCTATTCATTTGAATTGGGGTAAGTCGGTTTCAGTTGACATGAAATTGATATGAAGAAGTTGAGAGCTGTTTATCATAGGAATTTGAGAGAAAGCCTTTTTAGGCTTTTAAATGTATAAGTAGACCTACACTAAACTCAATATCACACTGAATTGTTTATGTTAAATGGCATTATATTATAAATATTTCAGTAGAATCATATTTAAAGTCTGTATTCACAAAACTATGACGCGTCGTCCTTTTAGCGAACACTCGTTGTCATCATTGATTTTCATTTGCACCATCTAATAATGTGTATTACTAATGTGTCTTTTACGCCCAATGCGATACTGGTGTTGACGTTTTGAATTCCAATACTCACCCAATATCAGCAGAATTTGGTAAATCATCTGCATGGCTTCAGGGGACTCGATGCAGTAGCTCCTGCAAGCAGATATGTTGTTAGCATTTTCAAACTGTGATACAAATACGTCGAAACAGTATGCTATCTAGTTTTGTTATGCAGCTTTTTTCTGCCATTACAGTGAAAAGAAGTTGTTGTTCATAAAATGTGATTACTTTGTCGTCCATTAAATTTTAAGAAATGCCTATCAAACAATTCAAAAGCTTTTCCTTTTGAACCATATTATGGTAAAACAATAAAAAATTACTTTAACAATCCACGTGTGCTTTACATTAAAGTCTCAAATCAGTCAGCATCGTTCAGATACATTTGCATCACACTCAGTTAATCTTGATTAACCAGATTGCCTTGTTTTGTTGTTTTTAAAGGGTTTAGAAATGACTTGCTAAAATTTGGTTTGATATACTAAACCCCACTAATCTCCAAGCTATACATGTCTTAGGAAGTACACATTCTACTTGATTTATCTTCCTATTCACGGGATTATTGAAAACAGTGATAGGGAAGTCATTTCTGCAACATTTTCAACCTCGCCCACGACTATATCTATCCACATGTATCCTGCCACACATGAAATGCTTTTTCACATTGTATTAATACGTTGTTCTTGAGGTTCCTTCATAGTGTGAAAATAAGTCATGCACTCTGATTATTAAGAGATAATACGAGAGTTAGAACCCGTGTGTCTCAGTATCCCCATATTTTAAATTAGGAATATCAAAGCTCGCTTAAATCAATTTAATCATGCATTCACTATTTATCTATTTAATAACTAAGTTGATTTCATGCAAATCGATTTTGTTCTGTACCAATAGCCTCGACATGCCAACTTTTGTTCCAGATAGTGATGTTCCTTTATATCATATCGTATAATCTTGTCTTGTCTTGTCTTGTCTTGTCTTGTCTTGTCTTGTCTTGTCTTGTCTTGTCTTGTCTTGTCTTGTCTTGTCTTGTCTTGTCTTGTCTTGTCTTGTCTTGTCTTGTCTTGTCTTGTCTTGTCTTGTCTTGTCTTGTCTTGTCTTGTCTTGTCTTGTCTTGTCTTGTCTTGTCTTGTCCTGTCCTGTCCTGTCCTGTCCTGTCCTGTCCTGTCCTGTCCTGTCCTGTCCTGTCCTGTCCTGTCCTGTCCTGTCCTGTCCTGTCCTGTCCTCTCCTCTCCTCTCCTCTCCTCTCCTCTCCTCTCCTCTCCTCTCCTCTCCTCTCCTCTCCTCTCCTCTCCTCTCTTATCTTATCTTATCTTATCTTATCTTATCTTATCTTATTTGACTGTTCTAGATGGACCGCCTCCGTGGTCTAGTGGGAAAACGTCAGCCGGGAGAGCGGAAGGTCCGGGGTTCCATCCCCTGCCGCGTCATAGACGTTAAAATACGGTACTTGTTGTAACCAGGCCTGGCGCTCAGTATTAAAGGGATGATATAAGGACTGGTCGGCTCGGAGTCAGGACTCTGTGTCTGAGTGGGGTATTCATGTTAAACTGCGGCATGGTATCTCAAAGTGCTAGCACTATAAACCGGCATCAGTCCGGACTAGAACAAGCAGCCACACACACACAAACACACACACACACGTGCATGCACGTCGTTAAACCCTATTTCACCTCTTTTCTAATACAAACGAACAATCGAGGTAGCACGAGCGAGTAAATAGACATAACCCTAACCCTTACCCTAACCCTCTGAGGATGTCATGACTGCAAAGAAGTCATATAATATTTAGTGCTACAAGCTTTTTGCCTTAATAAATATCAGTCAGGCAATCAGAATCGGGAAATATAGGATAGTAATGATTTTGAAGGAACCTTTTATGATCCCAATCTCTGAAATTCGGCGGGACGAAAGAACGCATTAGCTACGGCCCCTTTTCAAACACCATGATGAATAAACCATAAACGTTATCCCATACAGGTAGAGGTAAAATGTTGTGATGGTATGGTGAGTTGTCTATCGAACTGAGATGACTTTCAAAGGTAAAGCATTATATAGAAATTGCACTGTTGCGACATGACTAAAGGTAAGGGTTCCTTACCCAAAGTACACCTTCTTATATCGCCAGGATGGGTGCTGATACTTATGCTCACTGCTCAGGGCAATCAACATGAAACTGAAACATGTATTAAAGCAACACGGCTCATAATACTTTCCGATGATAATTGGGGTACTGGAAAAAAGTACGAGAATCTTAATATACTAAGAAAGTGTTATCCGAAACGTAACATGTTACATTTTACCACTTTCTAAATGGCATGGTGTGTTCATAGCTTTTGGTCTTGGGAACCGTGCCAATTTACACTTGTTAGAGGGGTATGTGATATAGTATGTGATATAGACTACCAGTTGTCGGACTTTCACTTTGTGGAAGCCTCAGTGGCTAAGTGGGTAAGATCGCTGACTTTGTGTGCTGGCGATAAAGTGCTCAAGTACTACAGTCACAAAATGTTTGATTGACTACTGTCTCCCTGACTCTTTGGGTTGAATGTTTTCCACGGCAATTAACTTATGTTTATCTGTACTTTGTCTCAACTGTTAGCATCGGGTAAGTTAATGTCCGGGTTTGAGTAGTTTCACAACAGTCTGGGTATATCCTATGTATTGTCCATATTGATACACCTTGTTAATTAGTACTAAATGACGTTTTGTCAGTGCGGTAATTAGAGTGAGCAGTCTGTTAGTGCCTTTGGCGTTTTACCAGCTATTACTCATACCGATACTTGAAAATAAATGGATTTATATGTTTGAATTGGTTTTATTCGTTTTCATTTATGTCCTTGCAATTTGCTTACCGTGAATGTGATGGAACGAATGCTTTTGATTTGTTATATATATTTTAGTTCAGGGATGAGATCATCCCAGCGGGTGTACTTCAGCTTGATTTGTACAGGATTTTCAGCTTTCTGTTTTTTCCAGAACATACACTCTTAAGTTGTATTCCTGACAGCATTGGCGTTGACTAATAATAACAATTAACAAGTTGCCTCAGTTAGCTTTGTTTATCTTTCAAACATTTTAAAAGGGATTAAATACCATTTTATAGGATACAGAGAAACGTCCTCGCTATTTGCTAATGAATATCGGATATGCCTTTATGTAAGATTTAAAAATCCTCTACATATTTCATACTGACAATAGCTGAAACAGAATGCATACGAGTAAGTGGTGATGATTTGTAAACGAGTCATGTGCAGCGTCATATCAGATTGTGAAAAGATGTATTATTAGAACGCTATGTGTATATAACCTTTTGTTTGAAGATCAAGATGTAGCCATGTTCATAGTCAAACTGACACATGCACGACTACTACTTGTCATACTTTAGAGTTTAGGGAAATACATTCCAGCTGTGAGTTTCGGCATGGTGAGAAATAACCATTGTTATCAGTCACATAATTTGAGCATTTCTCGCAATATTCACACGTATCTGCACATGTATTTCCCTGAACTATTCCCACTAATCGCCACCTCATCACCGCACCATACAATATTCCTTTAACTTTGATTATTATTTTCTGTGTTTTCGGTTTTGGACTCGTCTGAACATGTGACATTTTGCTCCAACCTTTGTTTGCCGCTCTGTCTATCGACTATTTACCATACATGTACACATATTTCTCCCAAGCCATTAATACATGATACTAGTTCAACAATGTTAGTTTACTCCAGCGTATGCACACCAATTTATGTCCGCGAACGAATCTAATCAGTAACCTGTATGTTCATTACAATTTAGGTATGCATGCTTTCCACGGGAATAACATTGCCAGCTGAAGGTGTCATACACCTGTTGTCACACATGCACAGCAAAAAACTTGCCTTTTCCTTCAACATTAGCAATGGACCAGTTTCCAGTTCAAGAGGACAACTATGACACATAGCGATGAATCATATTCTACGCAGTATATAATTTCATTATTCAGCAGACATAACTGTAACATTGGTACATGAGGTATATACATGTAGCAATTCATAGAATATGCAGAGTTAAGAGTGTTGGTCTGTCAAGTTGCCAGTACTGCAGCTGGTCTCATCGTGAAATGCTTATAAACAGCTGATGCTTTAAGTACGCTCTCACTGCAATATCATCTATTTAAACTGTACTAAGTCTATAAAGGGACCCATCGCAGGAGTTTCCACAGCAGGCGATTGTTTTCATTGTGAGATATCTTTCGTTCTTTTTTTACACATCATCATATATGCCACGAGAATATCCAGTTACAAGGAAAGGGTAGAAGAACTGATTGACAAATTAGTAGTTTTCAAGAGAACTATATAAAACTGTGTGCATACCTTCTTTGATATCGTTTCTGTAACATTTCTGACGTTTTTAGTTTTGCTCTCTGTGTTTTAAAATCATAATGAAAGCGTCACTATATAGCTCTGTGATATTATTCTTCCTTAATCCCCTTGGAGTTTCTAATGCGCAGATATGACCTTGTCACACTACAACGTATAAGAGAAACTTGCATCTAGCGGGTAAAAGGCAGTTAGTACGCTGTCATTTCATCGAAGAACCCTGATTGTGGCGTATCCATAGCGTCTACATAACGACTTCACCGTATATGTAGCCCATGTCTAAAGCATTAGCAGCATATACATAGCTTATACATAACTTATGACAGCCTATATGTTGCCGATGTCTAAAGCATTAGCAGCATATACATAGCTTATACATAACTTATGACAGCGTATAAACACATATTTCCAGCATATGAGTAAAGTATGACCAGCGCGCTCAGCGTAGAGGAAAGGTGCCGAAAACGGGCCCCGCGGTAGTATAAATAGTCCTGGACACACATTCATCAAGTAACTTCATTCACGCAGTGATCTTCGCTCTGTCAGCATCATCAATATGCCTCCCAAGAAGAAACCTACCAGGGACCGAGCAAGAGCCAAGAAAACCAAATCTGCACCTGCTATAGAAGTTCCTGTGGAGAGAGCTGTAGAAGTTCCTGTGGAGAGAGCTGTAGAAACTCCTGTGGAGGAAGCTGTAGAAGTTCCTGTGGAGGAACCTGTAGAAGCACCTGTGGAGGAAGCTGTAGAAGCTCCTGTGGAGAGAGCTGTAGAAGGTCCTGTGGAGGAAGCTGTAGAAGGTCCTGTAGAGGAAGTTGAAGAAGCTCCTGTGGAGGAAGCTGTAGAAGTTCTTATGGAGGAGGCTGTAGAAGCTCCTGTGGAGAGAGCTGTAGAAGTTCCTGTTGAGGAAGCTGTAGAAGTTCCTGTGGAGAGAGCTGTAGAAGTTCCTGTGGAGAGAGCTGTAGAGGTTCCTGTGGAGAGAGCTGTAGAAGGTCCTGTAGAGGAAGTTGTAGAAGGTCCTGTGGAGAGAGCTGTAGAAGTTCCTGTGGAGAGAGCTGTAGAAGGTCCTGTGGAGAGAGCTGTAGACACCCCTGTGGAGAGAGCTATAGAAGCCCCTGTGGAGAGAGCTGTAGAGGTTCCTGTGGAGGAAGCTGTAGACGCTCCTGTGGAGGAAGCTGTAGAAGCTCCTGTGGAGGAAGCAGTAGAAGTTCCTGTGGAGGAAGCTGTAGAAGCTCCTGTGCAGGAAGCTGTATAAGTTCCTGTGTAGAAAGCTGTAGAAGTTCCTGTGGAGAGAGCTGTAGAAGTTCTAGTGGAGGGGGCTGTAGAAGCTCCTGTGGAGAGAGCTGTAGAAGGTCCTGTGGAGGGAGCTGTAGAGGTTCCTGTGGAGAGAGCTGTAGAAGCCCCTGTGGAGAGAAATGTAGAGGTTCCTGTGGAGGAAGCTGTAGACGCTCCTGTGGAGGAAGCTGTAGAAGCTCCTGTGGAGGAAGCAGTAGAAGTTCCTGTGGAGAGAGCTGTAGAAGGTCCTGTGGAGGGAGCTGTAGAGGTTCCTGTGGAGAGAGGTGTAGAAGGTCCTGTGGAGAGAGCTGTAGAGGTTCCTGTGGAGAGAGCTGTAGAAGCCCCTGTGGAGAGAGCTGCAGACGCTCCTGAGGAAGAAGCTGTAGAAGCTCCTGTGGAGGAAGCAGTAGAAGTTCCTGTGGATGAAGCTGTAGCAGCTCCTGTGCAGGAAGCTGTAGAAGTTCCTGTGGAGAGAGCTGTAGATGTTCCTGTGGAGAGAGCTGTAGAAGTTCTTGTGGAGGGGGCTGTATAAGCTCCTGTGGAGAGCTGTAGAAGTTCCTGTGGAGAGCTATAGAAGCTCCTGTGGAGAGCTGTAGAAGCCCCTGTGGAGAGAGCTGTAGAAGGTCCTGTGCAGGAAGCTGTAGAAGCTCCTGTGGAGAGAGCTGTAGAAGCCCCTGTGGAGGAAGCTGTAGAAGCTCCTGTGGAGGAAGCTGTAGAAGCTCCTGTGGAGGAAGCAGTAGACGTTCCTGTGGAGGAAGCAGTAGACGTTCCTGTGGAAGAAGCTGTACAAGTTCCTGTGGAGAGAGCTGTAAAAGCTCCTGTGGAGGAAGTTGTAGAAGTTGCTGTGGAGAGAGCTGTGGAAGTTCCTGTCGAGGAAGCCGTAGAGGCTCATGTGGATGAAGCAGTAGAAGTTCCTGTCGAGGAAGCTGTAGAAGCTCCTGTGGAGGAAGCTGTAGAAGTTCCTGTGGAGTGAGCTGTAGAAGTTCCTGTGCAGGAAGCTGTAGAAGGTCCTGTAGAGGAAGTTGAAGAAGCTCCTGTGGAGGAAGCAGTAGACGTTCATGTGGAGGAAGGTGTAGAAGTTCCTGTGGAGAGAGCTGTAAAAGCTCCTGTGGAGGAAGTTGTAGAAGTTGCTGTGGAGAGAGCTGTAGAAGTTCCTGTCGAGGAAGCTGTAGAGGCTCATGTGGATGAAGCAGTAGAAGTTCCTGTCGAGGAAGCTGTAGAAGCTCCCGTGGATAGAGCTGTAGAAGGTCCTGTGGAGGAAGCTGTAGAAGCTCCTGTGGAGGAAGCTGTAGAAGCTCCTGTGGATAAAGCTGTAGAAGGTCCTGTGGAGGAAGCTGTAGAAGGTCCTGTAGAGGAAGTTGAATAAGCTCCTGTAGAGGAAGTTGAAGAAGTTCCTGTGGAGGGAGCTGTAGAAGTTCCTGTGGAGAGAGCTGTAGAAGGTCCTGTGGAGGAAGCTGTAGAAGGTCCTGTAGAGGAAGTTGAAGAAGCTCCTGTGGAGAGAGATGTAGACGCCCCTGTGGAGAGAGCTGTAGAAGGTCCTATGCAGGAGGCTGTAGAAGCTCCTGTGGAGAGAGCTATAGAAGTTCCTGTGGAGGAAGGTGTAGAAGCTCCCGTGGAGGAAGCTGTAGAAGCTCCTGTGGAGGAAGCTGTAGAAGTTCCTGTGGAGTGAGCTGTAGAAGTTCCTGTGCAGGAAGCTGTAGAAGGTCCTGTAGAGGAAGTTGAAGGAGCTCCTGTGGAGGAAGCTGTAGAAGTTCCTGTGGAGAGAGCTGTAGAAGCTCCTGTGCAGGAAGCTGTAGAAGCTCCAATGGTGAATGAGTGAGTTGGGTTTAATGCTGCTTTTAACAGTATTCCAGTTATATCATTAAAAAAACTCATACGTCGCCATACGTTACTTGGGGGCACGGGTGACCTAGTCATCTAAGGCGCCGCGATTTGCTGTGCAGAGTTGCGACCCTTGGGCACGCTGGAAACCTATGATTGTGGGTTCGAATCCCAGTGTCAGTACCATACCCGTGCTCGTGGGTTTCACGGAAGTGGTAAACGTCTGAGACCTGCATCACTTCGGGATTCCCTCCCACAAAAAGCTGACCCGCCACGATATAACTGGAATATTGTTAAAAGCGGCGTTAAACCCAACTCACTCACTCCCATACGTTACTGCTATACGTTGCAGTGTGACAGGGCCAATAACGATGATTGGAAGGAAAGCGTAACTGGATCATATTCTCACAAGGCCGGTATTTCTTTTAAGAAGGATTCGTTGAACTCTGATTCGCAAAACGAATTCTTAAAAGTAACAATCACTTGACCAGTCATGTATTTAATCTTGTGTCAGTGGACTGAAGATTGATACTTTTTTGTACACGTATTTGTACATAAGCATATCACTTGATAATGCATGATTTATTATGCCTGTCGATATGATCAATGCTCTGTATTAGTAACATAACGTCCAGATGTGTGTATTCGTTCACTTACATGGCTTTACGCGACGCACAAATGTAGATAACTAAGTTCAGAAATAATGAATTATTGGGGGTTCACTTTGTCCGTCAATCGACACCCTCGATTACGTATATTTGTTATATGTTCCAATGGAAAGCACCGCCTCCGTGGTCTATTGGTAGAGCGTACGTCTGGAGAGCGGAAGGTCCGGGGTTCGATCCCCTGCCGCGTCATACCAAAAGACGTAAAAAGATGGTACTTGTTGTTACCCTGTCTAGCGCTCGGCATTGAGGGGCTAAAACAAGGACTGGTCGGCTCGGAGTCAGTATACTGTGTCTGAGTGGGGTATTCATGTTAAACTGCGGCATGCTATCTCAGTGGGCTAGCACTATAAATCGGCATCAGCCCGGACTAGTACAAGAAACCACACACACACACACACACGTGCATGCACGTCGCTATATAAGAGCAATAATCTTGGACGCGACGTTAAACCCAATTTCACCTCACCTCACCAATGGAAAGCTGTATAATGGCTGTGAACCTGTGAAAATGTGGAACATCGCCATGTGTGAGTGAGTGAGCTTGGTTTTGCGCCGCTTTTAGCAATATTCCAGCAATATCACGGCAGAAATGGGTTTCACACATTGCACCCATTTCGGGAAACTAACCCGTTCTTTCGGCGTGACGAGCGACGCTTTAACCACTAAGCTACCCGACCGCCCCAGAACAATGACAATTAATGATTAATTGTTAAACTAAGGAGGCACATGATTATACCAAGATATTGTGTACGCAATGTAATTCAAAATCAGTTGATGGCGAATATCACTATTTCTTATATGTGTTACATATAAGGGCGTGATAAAAACACACCTAAAACGGTACTATTGTGTTCATTCAAAAGAAGATAAATGTTCGTAAGTAATGTAGATTTGCAATGCCCTGTTGAAGAGAAAGTAATTTGTTTGCACAAACTACGTATATTCAAATGCCTTTCAGTATTGAGAATAAACAGATCGATGATGTACCACGTAGAGCTATGAATACACAATGCCATTTAGAAAGTGGTCAAATGTAACAAATGTTATATTTGGGATAACACGTGGACCTGTTGTCGAGTTTCGATTTGATTCGCATGTCTCGGTGTCGATTAATCAGACGTAGCAATGTTGATGTAGATTGCGTGTCAGCTTGAATATGTGTATTGTGAAAGTCGAGGGGAAGATGTTAGCCAGCGTTATCAACTGCCAACCAGGAGGAAAAGTCCCTACTGACAAGTAAAATGTTTGTCATCATCACTTGTCAATGCTTGGGGGAGCCAGCTGCGTCAACAGAGACATATACGTGCATGCTATATTGATTATTTGCAATTGACTGTGCAGCACTCGTTTAGTGATAACATATCAACATTGTCACGCTGACATGTCGACCTAGTTTCCCAGTAAAGCGTCCCTTACTCAAGGCTCAGTCTACGATCTGACGAACTGTGCCCAGCGACACAACAATATGGAACACCTACATAATATGTTTAAGATTTTTCAGACACACTAAAAGCAGTGTAGATTAGTTAGGAGGGGTATATTTCGGCATTAACATTTACATTTAACCGAAGAAAACGTCCACATGTTTACAATATAAACGTAAATGAATGTTCTATGAATTATAACAAACATAATCCGCTCTTGTAGATGTGTGCATTAAACCACACAATTAAGTATACCATGATCACCCAAAACGTGAATGCTTAACCTTATGAGGGCAGATCATTCAAAATTAATTAATTCAAGACATGTTCCGCTATTGCAACAACTATTAAAAGCAGCACCTTTCAGGATAATCGTATGCCAGCAACTTCTAGGACTTTTGCAGCCATAATGGATGTGATGTTTTCCAAGTTCATTTTTAGCACTATACATGTACATGTGTTACAAAATCACCTCCTTTGAAGCTACAAATCGAAATAGCTCTCTACAAATGGTCTCTGGATAACCATATCATATCTGTCGTTCGAAATGCCCGACAAAGTCTCTTTGAGGCGGCCATATTGGATTCGATTTTTTATCTCTTTTCACAATTTTTTCCCCGTTATGTTTCCATGACTTGACATTGAAGGGACACTATCTAAAACGATTGATATACAGTATGCTATGTGGCAGTGCATTATTGAAGTACAGTGATTGCAACTGTGTTACATTCTTTCTGTTGAGATTCGGTAGACGTCAATGACATTGTGTTTGGACAGTGATTTGTTGTTAGAAATGTGGCACTATTTAATGTAATAATTTTTAAGGAAGTTAATATATTTAGATGCAAGTGTCATATGTAAACTTTCGGTATACCGCGGAGTGATGTGGAACATTACGTAATGTTCTAGTGCTGCACGACTGGAAAGATCACTATGTAGAAATATCCAGTAGCTAGTCAGAATGTATATCAGGGGACAAGACCTTCTTACGTATCTTACATCAGGACCAGCTTTCGTGTGATCACACATCATCCCTGATCCCATGGCTTGGCCCGTCTCGGAAGCCTGACCACTTTCGTCACCGGGTGAATATATATAATCACTGACTTTAGCTATTCCCACTGTATTTTATATTTGATACTCACCATTGCAATTAATCATATACTGTCATTGAAGATTGTACTACCACTCCATTGTGTACTGCCGTTGTAATTGTATGGTATTGTTTTGTAAACCTATATGTTTTTGTAATACATTTGTATTCCACTTGTTAGTTGTTTATTGGATTCACACTAAGTTATTTTACGTACAAATTATTGGGTAAACATATTGTTACAATTTGGGAATCCACACGGAACAATTATTAAAGGAATGATTTGTTTCAGAATTGCTCCCGGAACTGTAAAGTGGAAACCGACATGACAAAAGTTAGCGAGACAAACCCGACAGCCAGCCATTTCAGCCATTTTGACCTATAAAGCTGTGTCAGTAGCAAAACACAAATCCTTTTGATCGTAGACAAGCTTGATACAGTTTGAATTGTTACAGGTATATTCAAGACTTATTGTTCCACAAATCCTACAGTTTGTCATACATCTTCAAACAAGCACTGAACGTGTATGTCGGTTGTTCGACGTTTTACTCACCAGAATGTTATAGAGACGACAGCTGGTTCCACGTTTACACCAGACTTCTCGATGAATTCAAGCTATGTCCCCCTATTTCGACATGGAGAAAACAGCTTCCACAGATACTACCTTTCCCTATCTTAACCCTAGACATCAAGTTATCCTGTTGCTCTGCAGCAGAGTCTGTTTTACTGATGTAACACATCAATACTGCGACAGGTGTCGCGTGATATATTACCATCGTATCATCCTGCATGAATAGCGTCATCAGGTCATATTGAAATAAAACTTAGTTGGGCTGCAAGATGTAATATACTGAATCCTCATGTGGAAAATACTGGTGTATGCGGTAGTTGTACAAACATGCAGGTAAATGTATTATTGGAAACGTTATGGTGTCATGATTCTTGTGACGTCAGAATAACACTATTTTTTATGACAACATTATCATACATTATAACATGCAGTTTATCCGTATAAAACAAAAAAATATCCAACACCCCCACCGTCCAGTAAATCCCTTGTCACATCTGTAATCACAACCCTGGTGCTTGTAACATTTTAAAATGCACTTTCTGATCAATACTGATTTATACATAACGGAAAAATACACATAAAACTAGATAATTGACTTTTGGATAAATCTAAATAAATAGCCAAACAACACGAATCGGTCTGTCATAGTGCAAACGATTATTGTCAACCAAGGAATCACCACTGCTTCGGCAATCAGTATGTGTCCATCTGACTGATGACGTTCACCAGGCGCCTCTTGATGCTGCTGATCAAAGGTTTTATGTTCAAAATTTTGATCACCTGTCCTTCAAAATGCAGTGCCTGGGTCAATTAATTCAGATTTTACACAGGAAGGTCTATAGCTTCCACCTGGCAGCCAAAGTAATCCATAAGGTATATGTGTTTTGGGAATCGGATTGTGGTGCTTAATTAATGTTCATGTGTACATGTAACCTGTGAGAATGAACATTCATTACTATTCCATAATTGATCACAAATACTGCAGTACAATTTACTTATATCAATTTCCGATAAGCTCATGTACATTACTCAAGGGGCGACGGGGTAGCCTTATGGTTATATTGTTCTCTTACACCGAAAACCCAGGTTCGATTCTCCTTCCGTGTCTGTTGAATGGCGACAGGACAGATGTGCGACAGTTCGTGCAAGGCTGTGCACTTGATCAGCTGTTTTGTCAGATATGAGTGCATGCACATATGGAATAGTACAGACGTAAATAAAGCTGCAGATGTTTCAGAGGAGATGCAGACACATCTGGGGAATGTAAAGATCAGAGGCTGCGTTATGATGCTATATGGTGTATTGTGGAGAAGGAAAATGGATGAATGTGTCAGGAGTATCTGACACCAGTTTGTAATGTCGACTCGAGACATCAAGACAGATTTGACAGTGGATCAGTTATGATGTCGAGTGGCATCACTTTGACTGACCAAGCCCCATATTGTGCAAGGAATGTTCCATGGACAGTACTGCGTTGTCCCAGTTGCAAGACGTGTGTGTGGACGTTTTGTCTTCAGGGCGACAACGACAGAGCTCACGAATCAGCAGCACAACATCCTTGGAATACCATGACCAACAATGAGCCCAGACTTTTTTCCAGTTGAACACGTCTGGTATACGATAGTAAGAGGCCGCCGACTACGTGAGATGAACTTGGCCAGGTGTTGCAAGAGACATAGAACAGACTGCCTCGAATCGCCACGAGAATCATACGCAATATTCACCATAGAGTGAATGAATCATGGCTGTATCTACTACCGATCCAAAAACGTCAACATTGAAATCTCAAGACGTGCCCCTATCGTCCTTCATGGTCGGTGGCGGTCATCACATCTACTGTCATCTTTCAATACCGGTTGTAATGTATTTACCATTCTTTCATTATCATAATTAGTATACAACTATAGCTAAAAAGTATATGTACTGCTCAAAAAAAAGAAACACAAAGCCAGATTTGTATGAGGTAGGAAAACGCATTTTTACGAGGAACCGTACAAGGTATTGAAGAGCGAATACTTGGTGATTGTAGTCATCTCAATTATCGGTACATATGGAAAAGTCCAATGGTGAAATCAGCTACCATCAAAAACGCTTATGTTCGAATCTATAGCGGCCTGACATATTATGCCCATGGAAGAGACGAGTATGTGAATCACATCCTGGGGAAAGGTTGCCCACTCATCCTGCAACGCAAAAGTCAACAGGTGCAACGTCTGGGGTTGTGGTTGACGTCGGCGTAGCCGTCTATCCAATTCATCCCACAGGTGATCTATGGTGTTCAAATCCGGGGATCTGGAGGGCCAGGGAGAACATGAACATTGTGTGTAGACAGGCTCTTGTGATCCGTGTTGTATGCGGTCGAGCTCTGTTTTGCTGGAAAACACCGTTGCCGTTGGAAATATTTGTTGAAGTAGAATTTCGTGGATGTATCGTTGAGCTGTAAGATTGCCCTTGATATGAATCGAACCTCTCCTGCCATGATGAGCGACGGATGTATTTCCGATTATTCCCTATTTTTCACACAGATCACACAGAAAAGCAAGGAGACACTGGCAAAACAGTGTTATTTGGTCTCCCACGGAATATCAAATTTCATAATTATACTGGTACACATGTTGCTGCAGCCGTTTATTGCATCCTGGTATATCAAGCGTTAGAGACAACACATCTTGAACCACGTGATATTGGAAAATGTATTAATGTATACCAAGGTGAGGATGACTTACAGTGA